AAAGAAAAAAATTTGCTATTCACATGATCTAGGTTACTAGTATTACCTTACGATTTTAAACCTCCGAATTTAAAAAAATAGCTTCCAGCTGGGTGCAGTGGCTCACACCTGTAATCCTAGCACTTTGGGAGGCTGAGGTGGGCAGATCACCTGAGGTGAGGAGTCCAAGGCCAGCCTGGCCAACATGGCCAAACCCTGTCTCTACTAAAAATTCAAAAATTAGCCAGGCATGGTGGTGGGTGCCTGTAATCCTAGCTACGTGGGAGACTGAGGCAGGAGAATTGCTTGAACCTAGGAGGCAGAGGTTGCAGTGAGTCAACATCACGTCACTGCACTCCAGCCTGGGTGACAGAGTGAGACTCTGTCTCAATTAAAAAAAAAGCTTCCAATGTCTCTCTTTCTGATTCTCATCCCCTATTAAACTACCCTTCTACTCTAAACCTTATGGGGTTAAGTATACAAATCTCTACCTGGATTCAAGGATTTTGAAAATCTGGTTTTCATTTGCCCCTCATGACATTTCTGGTGTCCTTGCCTTAACTCTGATTCACTGCTTGATTTCTTCCTCTCTTTACCCCACAAATATATTCCTCCAACATTCTTATTGCTTCAGTTATGTCTCTAGGTTTGATTCTCAGGTTTTAGGTGTTCCTCTGGCTTTTCAGCTATCACTTCATTCCATCCTTTGGGTCACAGTTAAACTCATTTCTTATAGTTTGATGAAGCCTTACTATCCATTCCTAAAATAACTCCTCCCAGTACTGCTGGCAGGCAGTGTTCTGGAGACTTACCTTATTCTTTGTTTTTTGCGCCCACAATTAGTTGTTAGACCTTGCCTTTCCGGATATTGCTTGAGACCTTTGTTTTTTTGCTACAGTGCTACCTAGATTTACCTCAGTTGCTATGAGTTTACCTATTGTTGTATGCTAGTGCTGCAGGAATACAACAGACCTCAAATGAATAACAGCTCAAATACACAGTAGAAGTTTTTCTTTATCATGTAACACTCTGAAGAAGGTATTACCAGTTGATGGGTAGATGACCTTCAAGTGATGAAACAAGGACCCAGGCTCCTTTCATCTGTGACTTTCACTATCGCTTAGCATACTTGCCATCTTCTAATGCAATTAGCTAAGGCATGGGGAGAGAAACCATGGAGGCAATGGGCCTAGAAATGGTACATATCACTCCCACTCACATTCCAGTTGGCTAGGACTCAGTCACATAACCACAGATATTTGCAAGAGAGGCTGGGAAATGTAATCTAGCGTGTGTCCAGGAAGAGGACAAAGCTTTAGTTAATTAGCTTACTTTCTCCCTAAGGAAGACCACAGGTACCATCCAATTATTGCAGTCTTCTCCATGTCCTCTGTCTCTAGCGATACACTCTCCTTTCCATCAAGTCCAGTGACCTGGGAAGTTAAAGATATCTCCCCCACCCCCACCACCAACTTCCACCAAGTACACAATGCAGAGCAGGAAGAAGATAACTGCCATTAAAATTTCCATTTGAAAAAGGGAAGAATGAGAATCTATAGCAGTCATTGATTCACAGCAGTGAAACCCTCCCTCCCAATTCTCTCAGTAGAGGCAGTTTTTAAACGTTTATTTGTTTTTGTTTCCTGTTTTGTAGAGGCAGGATCTTGCTCTGTCACCCACGCTGGAGTGCAAGAGTGCAGTGATACGATCATAGCTCACTGCAGCTTTGAATTCCTGGGTTCGAGTGATCTCCTTACTTTAACCTGAGTAGCTGGGACTACCAACATAAGCCATCACGCCCAGCTTATTTATTTATTGGTAGAGATTGGGTCTCCTTATGTTGCCCAAGTTGGTCTGTAACTCCTGGCATCCCTCTGCTCCAGCCTCCCAAAGTACTGGGATTTTAGGTGTGAGCTACCACACCTGGCCTAGAGGCAGTTTTTTATTTGACTCCATCTATTTTCTAAGAGGAACTCTCTTATTCATTATTCTCAGTGGTCCCCTGCTCTGACTTCTGAGAAGTGAGAAGACTGAAACATGTAACATGCTATGGTTTCATTTGAAGTAAGTATTGAGAACTGTTTCCTTCTTGGAAGCCACACAACTTTCATATCTTGCTTCATGAGAATGAAAGTTTGCTTGGAGTCCCTCTGAAACAGGAGGCAACACAAACAATTCTGATCTTTGCCACGAGGTTGAGTTCTCATGTTTAGTTGAGCAGTCTCAGCGGGCTTTTCTTATTCAACACTTTCTTCAATTTCCTAATACTTGGAATCCAGAAGCAGTAGACTTTTCCAACCCAAGGCACTTCATCTCAGGACTCTTTTCCATTCCCTTCAATCTCTGTGAAAGTCATGTAACTCCTGCCTGAGTTTACTGCTTTCTCATGAAACATTTTAGCAAGAAACTCTCCAACACAGGGCTACTCTGGCTCTTTCCATCCATTTCCCCTGAACTACAGTTTCAGTAATCACACCGACCACCTTTAGTATACAGGTTTATCCATGCTTTGCCACTTCAAAATACAGCTACAGGTTTCCAGGCTGCTATATCTATTTCCTCACCATTGGTTGCTTGACTGCTAAGCTGATGTAGAATATTTTAGGTTTTCATTCTCACAGAACCCCACTGAAAGGTATCAATCGTTTTTTTAGTTTTGGTTGTTTGCAGTAACAGATGTACTCCAAAATATGCAATGGCTCAAATATAATAGAAGTTTTTCCCTTATTTATGCCGTCATTTTGAGGCATACATACCTGATTGTCAGTTTTCTGTGAAGTGACTCAGTGACCCAGAATCTCTCCAAGTTGGGGCATTCCCAAAAGCTTTCAGTTTTCTCAGTATCCCAGCCAGTGGAAAGTGAAAGAAGGCAGGGAGAAGGCACATTTGATTTTTTTTTTTTTTTTTTTTGAGACAGGAACACCTTCTGTTGTCTAGGCTGGATGACACCAATGGCACGATCTCAGCTCATTGGTACCTCCATATCATGAATTCAAGTGATCCTCCTACCTCAGTCTCCTGTAACTGAGGTTACAGGCATGTGCCACCATGCCTGGCCACATTTGATTCTTAAAAAGCCGCCTAGGTTGGGCGTGGTGGCTCACACCTGTAATCCCAGCATTTTGGAGGGCCAAGGCAGGCACATAGCGTGAGCCCAAGAGTTCAGGACCAACCTGGACACCATAGTGAGACCCCGTCTCTACAAAAAATAAAAATGTTAGCCGAGCATGGTGGTATGCACCAGTAGCCCCAGCTACTGGAGAGGTTGAGGTAGGAGGATTGCTTGAATTTGGGATGTTGAAGCTGCAGTGAGCTGTGATCGTGCCACTGCACCCCAGCCTGGGCAAAAGAGCAAGACCTCGTCTCAAAAAAAGAAAGTACCATCTAGAAATTGGTACACATCATCTTTGGTCATACTCAATTGGCAAGAACTCAGTCACATGGCCATGCCTAATTTCAGGGGAAGGTGAGAAATGTAAGCTAGCCATATGACCAAGAAAAAGGGAAAAACATGGGTTTTGGTGAAGAATTGGCCGTTCCTACCACATATTAAAAGTATTATTTGGACAGTTTCCTTTAGATATATTTTCTTTATGCTGAGTAGATGCTTTCATTTTTTTCTCTTAATAATCAATATAAGTTTATGAGATCCTTACATAATTTGTCCCCATTTATTTGGCATTTAATTTCATAGAAGCATGTAGTGTATTATATTTTTGATTCATTATAAATTACTAATAAAATATTCCATATATACCTCTACTGAGACTATTTATTTTAAAATTGGGAATGACTTTATTTTTAAATGGGAAACATCATGGAATATTTTGATAATCTATGGAAAGAAAAGTTGACTTAAATATTATTTTGCATATTGGAGACCAAAGGAGTTATAATCAATTTGCAATTAAAATATAATCTTTGGTGAGGTTGTGGCTTAAAAAAAAAGTGAAAAACAACAAAAAACATATCTTAAGTATAGTAACCTGTAATAATGAATTAACTACTAAATCCATTTATAACAATAGAAAATGATAACTTATTGATTTGTTAGCAAGAATGCAGATATGCCAATTTTCTGCTAGGATTTCTCTTTATATTAATTGTGATTCTCTGAAAGACAATAAGCCATTACCCAAATGAAAATAATTTTTTCAAAGTATTAAATAATAAATGATCCCTAAGATATTGCTTATAATTCAGAAAATGTTGTCAACACTTAAGCAAATCTGTTACTTTTGCTCTTTAACCTTAAAAGTCTTAATAATAGAAGCCCAAAATGTTTGAGAGTGGGTGAATAATTCAGCAGTTAGTACTGGGAAAGTATACAAACTCCTTACATTGGAGATTACCTTATGAACCCATTTATTCTGAACAGAAGTGTTTCATGTTTTCATTCTATTTCAGTAGAGACAACTTTACAAAAGAAAAAAAAAAGCTCAACCAGGCCAATTGGGCAGTAGTGTTCTCCTCTTTAAAAAATGTTAACTAGAAAAGGTTCTGGATAATTTATGGAACTAAGGATTCAAAGACAATCAGTGATTAGATGATGTAGCGATTTTAATTTCTGTCAGTTTTAGAGCACCAAATGTTTAAATTCTTTTTCATATGCAAAATAGTGCTTGTGAAGTCTGTTGTTATAAATCTTTGTTGCTGGAAGTAAAATGGACAAGGTAATGAAATATGAAAAATATCTAAACTCAAGGTCTCTGGGAAATAATACAACTATCTAACAAAAAGGAATTAAAAATCAACAAACTACTGTGGCCAAAGAGAAAATTATTTTGTTAAACAAGATAGCAATACTGATATGAATGACAACAAATTCACATTAAATGAAAGAATAAGCTAGATAACAGTTCATATTCCAGCTGAAAATACAGAGACCATTTTAAAGATACTTAGTTTAATTTATGTTTTATATGAACTTTAAAGGAGATTATTTTTAAATGTCTGAATTTGTAAGTCTATTTTCTTTGGAAGCCAGATTTGACTTAAAATTAAATACTATGACCCAAACATTTTGAGAGCAATATTTTATAGCACATTTAGATGAGATCCCTTTCAAACCCAAGATCTGAATAACATTTAATATATATCCATTCCATATTTCCTTATGTAATTGACATTATTTTAATTTGGGTAACCGTCATATTAACATTTATTTGTCAATGACAAGAATTAGGACTGATGCTTATGCATCATTATCAATGAAGTCAGATGTTCACCCCTTCCATGTGAGTACTAAAATGTGAACAGATTTCTTACATAAAGGTGAAGAAAAGTAACTTTTAACCCACACAAAATTTATTCTCTGGAAAATTAAATTGCCATTAAAATCGCATTGGAATAATAATTTTAACATTTTTTTACACTGTTTTCACAGAGGTCAGCAATTTCTGTGTGTAATACAATTATACAAAAGGAAAAAGGCACCGAGACAATCGGTGTATAGATAGTAGAAAAGTTGATATGAGAATAAAATGCAACACACAGCACATTTTCAATAACATGAAAATGAATAGATATATGCTCACTCTATAAAACAGACTGCTTCACACACGCATCTGTTTATATTTTTGACCGAAAATGTAAATAAATGTGACAACAATACCACACTGTTGACAACCACACAGACACTTGTTTATATTAATAAGATCCATTAATGGTTTAGAGTCACTGGCAAATATGCTGGAGACAATTCAAGACCAAGGAAAAGGTTAATCAGCAGTGTATTTCTTCAGTTGTTTGATAAGAGTTTTGCTCATGGAGCATTTAAACTTTATCACACGGTTATATCCATTATTAGAAAAATAAGTAAGAAAGCTCTGTAGAAATTATATTATTAAGGAAGCTTCTTGCCTGAAAAAATAAAAGAAGTAGGAAAGAAGGAGGGAGGCAGGGGAGGTAGAAAGGAAGAAAAGAAAGAAGGAAGAAAGAAGAGAAAGGAAATACTGAATACAAGATTCCACTAATTGAGGTTTTCCATAAAAATTTCATTATTTTGAGAAATAAAATACAATGCAAGAGTATTGATCAGTGAGGAACCTCATGAGTTTTAGAATAGATCCCAACATTTATCAAGATCCTTAAAACTCATGTAACTATTCTTCCTCAGGACTAATTTAACTGAAAACATATTTATATACTTTCTTATTTCAAAATTCTAGTAAAAATCTAGCCAAAGTTTAGCCATCTCTTCCAAACAGCTTTAAAGATTCCTCAAAATTGTTGCCGCTATATTATTTTCACCACAAAAACAAAAGCAATCTCAATAAAATTATGCAGAAACATAAAAAGTTAATTAATTCTGTAATGCAAGCTACTCCTGCAATTTTTCACTTGATAATCTTAAAGTAATATTTATAATATCAAAATGCTGTTAGAAGTCTCACCATTGATTTCTAGCTGTGTTTCAAACAACTGTTGAAATGTGCTTAAATAGTAAGAGTGTCAATTTATGTGCAACAGCTACTCTGGTCTCCCCTCACATAACAAGTGTCACATAATTACAGAATACTATAAATATTCTCAATATTTTCCCAAGAAGACTTCCCAAAACCAAAACAAGCACGATTCCTCCCTTTTCCTCCTCCCCACTCTCTGCACTAAAAAAAAAAAAAAACTCCAAACAAAAAAGTCCCCAAACCTCTTAGACTCTATAGTATTTACTTCAGTTTTCTATTTTTTGAAATTGCCTGGTTAAAGCGACTGTGAAATTTTAAAAACTAGGTCTTTGAAAGAAAGAAGGCTTCTCGCAAATTAAAAATAAAAAGAATGTGCAAGCTAGAGGGAGAAGGGATGAGACTGAAATGGGAGAATACGACATACTGATCTCAGATCCTCACTTGCACAAGTTGGAATTGCAGGGTTCTAGGATACTGATCCTCTATGGGCCTTTTCTCCTACTGGTGCTTACGGATTACTTCCATCCACATTAACGGGGTTATGAACAGGAATCACTAGGAGGATCAACCCCTGAGGTAAACGGTTTGATCATTACTGAAAATTAAACCATCAGGAGGAGGTTAGCACACCTAGAAACTGACAGATGAAGTGACGTTAAGAAGTTCAGAACCATCCACCTTCAACCAGATGTGAATGGCAAAGAGAAGCAGTAAGTCTCAGAGATAAGGAAAAGTTCCTATTTTCTCATTAAACAAAATAGTCATATTTAATATGAACTGCGAGCAATATCTGAATACACAAATTTTGAAAAATTATTTTTTCAGTATATAATAGAGTGTTATATTTTATCTATTAATTCATTTTAAACACATTGTCAGGTAAGAGATCACATGTTAATGTAATAAACAGAAAGATGCTAAGGTTTTTCTTTTTAAAATAGTCTTGAATACTTAAAAGACAAACTCAAATGTCTAACAGTACAAACTGGATTTACTGATAGTCAGAATAATAAAGAAGAGGGTGAAGAAGAATCCTAATAAGACAATTTATAATACAGACTATGACAGTGACACAGAAATAATGTCAAACATCTTGCACAATTATTGCCGCAGCAGTGACTTGGTTCTTATAATTAATTAGAAATTTTCTGTTATAAGCTGTTGAAATTTTATAACAAAATTATGCCAAACTTTTGTTAGATTAATAAGCAGTTTCCTTCCTGCTCCCAGCCCATACAACAGAATTTTAGGGTACTTCACACTATTCAAATACATGACCACCCCCAGCATCACCACCACTGAAACAGCAACAGCAAACATGCTGTGATTAGAGTATTACACTTTGCTCTTTCTGTAGTTCCCAAGAAAGCCTATCTGGTCCTGCCTACTGTCTAGTCCAGGTGGTTAAGAGAAAAAAGTCAGGGTATCACTTTTTGGTAGATATTATTCAGCTTTGGTGCACTAACTCTGGTATCTGGTTTGAGTATATAATAAGAGCAGGAAAAAAGGCAGGGAGGAGGAAAGAGGGAATATTTTTTTAAAGGCACATACTAAACAGGGAGAGAAAAGAGCAATATTTTTACATTCATTTTTTGATAATAAACTACTAATTCCAGTCTATCAAGCTGTATTTCCCTAAGATTATATTAACCAGGGCTCAAGCTATCACCTGATCACACAGTGATTCATCAGCAGTCACAAAACAGCCTAAGTCCATGACAACATTGTTTCACATATTCAAATAAACTCATTTTTCATTGGGTAACTACAGATCTCTGTGGGGGAAAAGAAAACTTCAAAATGTAAAATGTGTTCATACAAAATACGACATCAGAGAAGGAAATATGGCTACATTTGAAATGAGGGGAAATGGAAACTCAGATGTACCTTCTTCACAGCATTTAATCTGAGAGAAAGAGAAGGTCCTGAGGCTGCTGCATTAACTTGCTATTTGAAATAAAGGATCCTAAGAACAAAACGACCAAGGAACTAGTTCAGAGCAGCAGTCACAGAAACACTGCTGTTAGAGAAGAATCCGGGACACACTTCCTCTCACCAGTATGATGACAATGAAGCCATTTAGATGATGATAAAGGGAAGCAAAAAATTTTACTGTATACTACAATGCAAAAACGCCAGCACCTATGGCTGCTACTCTACATTTGCTCAAAGGTCAGTCTTATTTCATTTACGATACCGATAGGGAAATTACTAGATAAATACCTCCCCAGACACTCTGCTTTTTATCTAGCATTCTAAAGGTAACTTAGAATATTTAAACAATGGAATTTTCAGAAATCATAAAATCAACATATTTATTTATTATACCAAGAAACACTTTGAAAATGTATGTTGAATGTGAATGTACAGAAACTCATTAAATATTAATTTCTTTCATTAAATATCTTCCTTTTTACGGAAGCATGAGGAAAAGATCAGCAACATTAATCCTAGTCTTAATCTCTCTCTTACTATCACTGTTACACTTGGAAGGTCTGATCTACAGGCACTGAAACATTTCATGAATAATGCTATGTAATACACTTAATTTCTCTATCAACAGATCTCAGACAGAATTTTCTGGAGAGCTTAATAAAATGTAGAATATTGAGGTCCCTTCCAGACCAAATGAAGTAGAATCTCTGGAGGTAGAGTTTTGGAATACAAGTTAAATTTTCCTCCCTTCCTTCCCTTCTCCTTCTTTCCTTCCTCTCTCCCTCCTTCCTTCCTTCTTTTCTGCAAGGTCTTGCTCTGTCACCCAGGCTGGAGTGCAGTGGCGCTATCTTGGATCAATGCAACCTTGACTTCTCAGGCTCCTGTGATTCTCCTACCTAAGCCTCCCGAGTAGCTGGGACCACCGACACCACCACACTCAGCTTTTTACATTGTTGGTAGAGATGGGGTTATGCTATGTTGCCCAGGCTGGTCTTAAACTCCTGAGCTCAAGTAATCCACCTACCTCAGCCTCCCAAAGTGTTGGGGTTACAGGCGTAAGCTAAAATTTCAAAATAATTCTTAAGGATATTACAGTTTAGAAACCACTATTTTACATTTCGTTCTTGGAAAGAACATGTGTCCTCAAGTTTGATGGGAGTCTAATGTGTATTTGTTCTTTAAGACCTAACTCAGGGGTTATCTTTTCCAGGAAGATTTTTTTTAATCCCACGTTGCATTCTTCTATTAAATCCCACAGTACTCTATGCATGCCTCTATCTTAATGCTTCATTATACTAGGCTTAAATTATCCCATTCTGTGGCCATCTTCCTACCTTAGAATGTAGTCCCATGAGGGCAAAGACTTTGACCAATTTATTATCTCTGCATCTGTAGCACTTGGAACAACACATGGCATATATCTGGTACTCTTAAATATGTATTAACTAAAGGAATAAATAAATCCATGCATAACACAAGATTCATAAAAACTAAGACTCATTAATCATGTGACTGATTTCTTCCATAAGGAATTTAGTTCAATATTTATTGTCTGCCTACTACGAGCAAAGAGGTACAGAAAGATACTAAAAAGGCATTGAGTACTTACCTAGGGGGAAAGAGAGACATATGTAATTAAAAAAAACTAGCTATAATTCCTGACAAACCTTAATGAAATTGAGAATAAAAGAAACATAAATAAATTGCAACGAGAGGTCAGAAGACAAATCTTTTGTCTTACCACTGATAATAGTGAGATATGGGCTAGACACAAGTTATGCCCTTCATAAAGTAGTAAGGGGGTCATGTAATAATTAAAACACCTTGGATTCCCAAAAGTGGTCAAAGAGCAGAACAAACTGATTAATATACTTTCAGGATATAAGTATAGGCTAAACTGGCAGAATAAATCAATTCCAAATATTTAAAAATCAAAGTCATCTACAAAATGACATAAAAGTACCACCATTTGTGTCCTGAGAAGAAAAAAAAATTCTGATCTTCTTTTCTTCTTTGTCTTTTCTCTTTTCCCAGCTGTTTTGCCCCCCTAGTTCTGCCATTTAATCAAGGTGAGTGGGATTATTAATAAATGTAATGTCCTAAGTAGTTTTTTTTTCAAACAGGGAGGCAAATGCAACATGCATAGGTAGCATGGGTTTTAGAATAATTTAGCCCTGAGTTCCAACCCCAGTTCTACTGCTTACTTATTGAATGACCTTGGGAACGTTTGCTTAACCTCTTCACGCTGCAGTTTCTTTATCAATAAAATGTTGATAATATTACTTACCTCGTGATATTGTTTTGAGAATCAAGCAAATAATAAATTATTGTGCTACATCTTAGTAAATTATAGCTGTTATCATCACTTTGGAGGGCAGAGATGATGTTTTAAAATTAACCTTAGAAAATGCTTTGCAGCATGCTTAAACTTGTATTCAATATTAAGTTTGGTTGGTAATAATACCAACAGCTACCTTCAATGTAGGTCACAGATGAACTGGGGACAGTGAATGGAAAAAAAAATTGGAAAAAAAAACCATCAATGTGAAATAATACAGTGAAAACTAGAACAACTATATACATAATATAGTAAATGTCAATGTGAAAAATCTCTATGAATTGTCTAGTCTATGTAGGCAAATGGTAATTTTATGCAAATGAATTTGTGTTCTTTCTATCCATATCTGGATAGAGATGTTGAAAAATATTTGTTGGTGACTGCTGTTCTTGCTCCATTAAAAATTTACACCTTCAGATGGCCTACTTTTTCTTTCATTGGAAAGACTATGATATCATTCAGTCTCTCCACTCATCTTCATATTGACAAACGCTCTCAATTCTTTCCCCTTTTTCCCCTATTGATACTATCTTACTTTGCAGTTACTGATTATGTTTCTGATTCAGTTGATAAGTGAAATAAAAATGATGAGGGTATCAAGCAAATGATTTAACATACAGCCCTGGGCCTCTTCACAAGGTTGGATGAAACTGCCTTACCAGTCCCTGCATTTAAACCTGTATATTAATCAGGTAGCTTAGATGTTTTCTCATTGGGTTTTCTTTTTTTAAATTGTGGCCCGATTCATTATTCTTGTTAGCAAATACAACATTATTGAGAATTCACTAAATGCACAGTAAGATAATATGCAAATAGATTTCAAACAAAATGTGGATTGTACTGAAGACACAAGAATACAGAAGAAAGCTTCTGAAAGATAAGACAATATTATACTAAACAAATTCTTTACAAATGTATTTGTCATATATTTTTGTTCCTGGGCAGCAATCACTATCTTTTGCAGCTCATTTGGGAGACAAAGCCCATAATTCCAGGTTCAGAGGCTCCCATAAATGCCAGTCAATTGCTATATTTAGACTATATCATTTTATTAGAAAACTTGGGGGATTTTAATGGAACAATATGAAAGTGGGTTGTCTTTTTCAAGTTTCTGAGCCAACATCAGCTCCCTACCAGTGTGTCCCTATTTACTATAATTATTGAGACAGAAGATTTTGCTGTTAAGCTTTCATGCAAATTCAAGCACACAAAAAAGCAGTAGTACTGTCTTGTACATTAGATTCAGTAGAGTGAAGTGGGTCCCCTGAGCCTTAATCCTTTTCTAAAAGAATAGACAACTTTTTGGGAGTAAATACTACAAGTTGTGTCAATCTACAAAAACAAATGTATATTTTGCTGTGTATAAAGGAGAACAGCAGCAGAAAGCACCCCAAACCAAATTTAATATCTGGTAAATACACAGAGGAGAAAATAACCATAAACTTTGAAATGTTTTTCTATTCAGTTATCTGAAAAGCCAGGGCACCTTTACCTTTACAAATGAATATACCTATACATATTTATGTTGCATGTATGTAGGTGCATGTGTGTATACAGATACACACCCATATAGATAATTTATAATCTTTGAGGACTTGGCAGCTTGGGTGGAGGTAGGGTCTCTTCTGAAATATTAAAAAATTCTTGATTAATTTTTAGGCTATGAAGGATTTGATACTTATACCAGATAATTCCCTATGGATATAGCAAATCACACACACCATTCTGGGCATAGTCTGAAAAAGGCAGATTTAACAAATAACGAGTTGGGTCTTTTTCTCACTAAGGGTGAAAGCAACAAGCTGGTCTTCCTGATGTGTTTCACTAAGCTCTGTAACAGTTACAAATAAGACTGATAACTCTTTTTATTAGGCAGATAACAGTTGTTAGCAATGGAGTCAGTTCTTTCAAAGTCAAAAAAGATCACTGTAGCTTCAAATGCCTAAGTCCAATTTCTCAGTAAAATCTTTATCTCCTCTTCAAGTCTTTCCATACTGTTGCTGGAAACACTTAAATGAGATATTCTGCCATTTGATTCAGGTTCTAACTCTTCCTTGTTTATTTAAAAAATCCTGGTAAAAGCTCGTTGATGTAACAACGAAAGATGGATTTTTCCCTTTAATGTAGCCCTGTAACATACATTCTCAAACCTCATGTCATCCAATGTATTTGCATTTTTTCTTATAATTCATGTGTATGAATGCATAGAGTTGCCATTTTTTAAACTAAAAAATATAGGAGTTCACGGTCTTTTTGGATTTCTTTTAAGGCCTTTCAGTACAGCCAAGCTGAGTAATATCTATGCATTGTTTTGTTATTATGGTAATAACAAGTTCTAGTTTACAATAATACATAGTACTTAGTTGGGACTAGGAGCAATGATATACTGCTTTTTAATAACTGGTAAATAGTATATTTGTCTATATTAACTAGAAATGAGAAGAGAAAAAAGAAACTATTTTTAATATATATAAAACATACTCTAATAAAGTATATGCATAAAATGATAGGTAAGAAGCAAATTAAAAAGAAAACAGCTTATAATATTCCTGATTAGAGTTCCTAAATATAAAAACAAATGAAGTGCCTTGCCATTAAAAATATTAGCACATTATACAAGTTTTTCATACTTCAGAGGAAATAAAGATCTTGCAACACTATTCTGAGGAATCTTTACATTTATAAAAATCGAAGGCTTAATTTTGCAAATACAACCTTCAAGCTGTATGAGCAAATTTAACTTACATGAAAGGCACAAGATGACATCACGTTGAAGAACTTTATCTGTAAATTTCATAAAGTCTAGTCACAAGCTATTAGAACTTCATAAGGAATTTCAGAACTGTTTTAACATAATGTTCCGATTCAAACTGAGAACTGGATAGTCTTTACATCACAAATACAAGTTGAAGTAAGAGTGAAGATTTAGAGAAAGAACAGTTTCTTATTTTGGATGCTACCTGCTTTACGCAGTGTTGGTTACTAAATACTCAGAGCAGAAAATTAAGACTGAATTGTTTTCCGTTTTCAACAGCTTACCTATTGTATTTTCAGTTTGTAAAAAAAGTATTTTCACATTACTGCAATTTTGAAGAGTCAATCACTGAAAGATATTTTAAAGTAAAGTCCTGCTCTATTAGCTTCCTACATTGGAATACAAGAATAGAGGAAGTGCTTTCAACAGAAAGTTACGTAGTTCTACAGTACAACCTGTCTAAAAGACTTGCAAGGGACCAGTACAGTGACTTGGTCTCTTTGGATCAGGCAAAAGCAGAGGCAAATGAAAAATGAACTTTTAAAAAAATAATGTATTAAAAAAATTCCTGTATGAAAATGAATACTTGTTTGCACTTAGATTTAGTGCTGAGAGGAACTGAGGCACAATGAAACTAAGTGCACAAAGGGAACATGTCTGAAATAAAGCAATTTTCAATGTGACTGAAACCCTTCACCATTACATATGACGTATGATAGAGTTGGAGAACTACTTTTTCATATTAAGGAACATTACAATCACCAGGGACTGGCCAGTCAAACTATGTTTTATAAATAATATGTAGAATGATATTAAAATCATATTGCAACTAAAATTCTGGTTTTTAAAATCACTTATAATTTTGATTTTTCATAAAATTACTGGCTCTTGCAAAATTAAAATTAACTTCAAATCAAAAACATCTTGTTAAATTTCTGGAGGACTGTTAGTTTAGCAATGATAATGTACATTTCTCAGTTTCCCAAACAAGCTCTACCAGATACACACATTTTCTTCATTTATGTCACTATTAGATATTCTTTCCATAGAACTTAAAGCATTTTGGTAGAAGGTTGAGTAAGATTCTTCAAAGAATAGCTCTTCTAATGGTGACTTGGTAGAAACAGTAATGTTGTAATTGGAAATATGCTGCCTTGGATGGTGACTGCTTGCTTAATTCTATTCATCACGACTCTAGCAATGCATGCCATCTACATACTTGCTGTCCCTTTGACTCTTTCATTTCAGTCCAGTGATTGAGTTCTTCTTCTCCAGAGCTGTTTAGACCTAAAGAAATCCAGCCTATCATCTCTTTTCTTTTCATGCTGCGTTTGTTATACACAGACAGTATGAGTGTCACATCAGAAAGCTGAAATAGGGCCACTTGAAAAACAAAAGTTTCCTTGTATACTGGATTTGGCTGCCCTCTGCGGATGGATGTCTTGCATTTGGACATCTCTTGACCCATGGAATTCAGTAGAGTTAACTTAACATATGTATCTAAAGAAGAAAAAAACAACATATCACAAATATCATTTGAAACAAACTCAAAACAATTTTCTCATAGGCTAAGAAAATTAAGTATTTATACTTTAAAAGGATATGGTGTATACCATGTTTAATGGAAATTCAACCAATTCCATTTTGATGTAGATGCTTATAATATGTGACAAATACGGAAAATGCTAAGTAGGCCAATAGTATTTTGAGAGTGATAATATCTTAACCTTACTATTTCTATGTAATAGTTAGAATTTAAAGGTATACCTCATAATCCTTCCTCTACCCTCCCACCCATTCCTTGACCTCCCACTACCCTCCCCTGCCCATTCCCATTCCCATTTAGCTTCACTAAGCAGAACATCATAGCATTAATAAACACTTAGCAAGCTCAATTAGCCACAACACTGTAAAGCATTCCACTGTTTTCAGAGAATAAGAATAAACAAACAAATAGAAATGAAGGCAAATGGTGAAGAGAAAAAGAGGAAGACAAGAATGCAAAGATGACATCAAAACAGCTTAGGATGAAATGTCAAAAAAAAATCTCTGCATGGATGTGGTTTTTAAATATACGTTTAAAACACTAAAGGGCAAAAATGAAGCCAAATGCATTAAGGGTTCAAAGTTTAGCAAACCAAGTAAAACTTTCTCCTGGTTTCATGCAAGAGTACATTTAATGTGCTTTCAGGATAGTTAAAATACTACAGGATTGTTTTTTGGCACAAATTTAATGTAAAATTTTAAGAATGATATCTTAACTATTTTTATGAATTACAAAAAAATTGATGTGATGTTTAGTGTACAAAGTGAAACATAAATGTTCATTGTCTGATTATTTGGAAGACAAATCCTCTCTTATAAGACTGTGTTTTCAAGTTTTTTAGACTCATGCAAATGATCTTCAGCATGTTGATCCATCATGTGTACTTCATATCAAAAGTTCAATTAATTTTAAAGAAAATTGCAATATTTATCATGAAGTATCTATTTCTATTGTATGAATCAAAGTACAAATGAATGAAAAAATAAAAATTTTTATTTAAAAAAGTTTTGCTTATTTCATATATGCTCTGAATACCATCATCCATAATCAGAGATAAATTCTAAGTTAGTTTTATTTAAAGTACCACAGATAATAAATGTGCATTGTTTTGGAAACCAACATGGTGGACAGCTTCACTGCTGGCAAGTTTTAGGGTATTTTGGTTTTGCATGAAAAGACAACATCCAATTAGCCTCTACAGGAACTCACCTCGGATTATATAAACCTGTCCACCTATCAAGTGTTTTAGACAACAGAACAGTCCATCTGACAACAGGGGGTGGAAAGCAGTAAAAGAAATAATGACCAGATGTCAATCGTTGGGTGAAAGAGGGTCAAAGGTTAGAATTAAAGAGGAAACACTGTTCACTGGAGTGGAAGAACACAAAACTTTAGCATTTTAATTCAGATAGAGGACTGAACAAAAGGAATGTTGGGTAAATTTCATGGGATGAGAATTTTTAAGGTTATTGTGTAATCTTAAACAAAAATTACACTTTTTAAAAGGGGGACATCTTTTTAATGATATTCTCTTGGTCTAAAGCACATTGAACATAGAATCATGCATATTATCAGACTATACAAGACTAAATAAGAGTATTTATAAGAACCATCAGAATTATTATGCTTATTATTGCTAAATTTAAAGCTTATCCATTTAATTTGCAAATGCTTTTATTACTCCCAATATATATAAATTAATTATGCAAAACAAAATAGGGCTAATAAAATTTTTGCTGTTGAATATTGTTCTTTCTCTGGAAAAATGGGGATTATTCAGTCTATAACATAGTTCAAAGCTTAGAACCTAGGTATTTATGAGGGGCTATAATCTTTATATTGTTTTGGACAAACTGATAAAACTTTTAAAATTGTTTTACCTTTTACTTTATGAATATTCCAATTTCATAAAATTACTTTAAATGTTGACTTCTACTTACTTGCTAGTTACCTCCCACCTAACACCAAGAATTATCCTTACACTGAAGATCTAATGGTAAAATAATGGCAATTGCTATAACCTACTCTGTAACCTGAAACATTGACTCCATGTTGTGGATGCTAATCTTTTGTCATCTGTTTATTATCCAACCCTGTACTTGGCCACACCTCCCTTCATTTTAGTTGTGATTCTTGTTGCTCTATCAGAGCAACAGTAAGGATAGAAAAGCAAACACATCACTTCATTATATTTTTTAGCATCTCCAGCTAAATATTTGCCCAAAAAAGTGTAGTAAATTATTAGCTAAAGGACAAGTGGCAAACTGATACACGTGGGGGCTCAATGTGACTCTAAACCATGTTCTATTTATGCAGCGCAGTGCTAACAATCTGAATCTGAATGCCTTATTGGCAGGGTGTGCCCTCTCATGTTTGTCTCAGGCCTCACCATCTCCCCATCTTTGAGTTTTACTCATTTCAGTTACCTCCCAGGCCTTCTAAGTTTGCATTTTAAGTCTATACTAATAAAGATCAAGTCATACTACCAAATCTGTTTACTCTAGAATTGCTTCTTTTCTCCCCTTCAATTTCTCCTTCTGAAATGAGAAGGGGGATAATAATAATAATTCCATCCCTCTTTTATGTACCTTTGTTTGATCTGAGCCTCACAATTACCCTGTGAGAGACATGACCTTAATTTTTATCTATAAAGAAACAGACTTAGGGGAGTGAGGTCATCTGTCCAAGCATAGAAATACTAATTTAAGCCTTCAGATTTTTAATTCAGAGATAGATACCTTCTATGATGTATATATTTCCAAATAATATTGGAAAACTTGTTTCTTACATCTATCATAGAAGGTATCTATATTTTAATAACTTTTTACTTCTTACATATATCATAGAACGCACCTATATTTTAATAACTTTTTACTTCTTTTTTTTTTTTTTTTTTGAGACAGAGTTTTGCTCTTGTTATCCAGGCTGGAGTGCAATGGCACGATCTCGGCTCACTGCAACCTCTGTCTCCTGAGTTCAGGCAATTCTCCTGCCTCAGCCTCCTGAGTAGCTGGGATTTCAGGCACGTGCCACCATGCCCAGCTAATTTTTTGTATTTTTAGTAGAGACGGGGTTTCACCATGTTGACCAGGATGGTCTCGATCTCTTGACCTCGTGATCCACCCGCCTCGGCCTCCCAAAGTGCTGGGATTATAGGCTTGAGCCACCGCGCCTAGCCCAACTTTTTACTTCTTACATATATCACTGAAGGTATCTATATTTTAATAACTTTTTACTTCCATTGAATAAATAATTTTCATGGCAATTAGAAATAAAGTTAATTTATTTTAAGGGTAAAAAAGTTACCCTTCCTTTATTTTTAAGTTTTAATTAATTATTATTATTATTTAAGACAGGGTCTTGCTCTGTCACCCAGGCTGGAGTGCAGTGGTGCAATCTTGGCTCACTGCAGCCTTGACCTCCTGGGCTCAAGCGATCCTTCCACTTCATCCTCCTGAGTAGCTGAGACTACAGGCTCAAGCCACCATGCCTGGCTAATTTTTAATTTTTTTGGAGAGAAAGGGTCTGTTGTCCAGGCTGGTCTCGAAATCCTGGGCTCAAGTGATCCTCTAGCCTCAGCCTCCTAAAGTATTGAAATTACAGGTGTGAGGTACTACTGTGCCTGGCCCCCTCCTATAATAATTACTTGCTGTTTGGAATAAAATACTGCATTAAGCAATCTGTAACAATTCTTTAAGAAAATTTAAGGTAGTGTTATTATTTCAGATTTATTTTCAAATTTTTAGTTTAGGGCAATAACAGCTTTAAATTTTAGATAAGTATAAAGAAGCTGCCACTTTCCCAGTTTACGTCTTACTTTACCAACATTTTAGAGGTATACTGGGTGACAATTTCACTACTCTCCCATAACCTACCCTGGCCCTGCTGAACTGGGAGAGAGATCTGGAGAGAGAACAGTAACAGGCATAACACGCATACAGTCAGGGCAGAGGTATACCATCTAGCTTTCCCTCCTTAGCATCCCGGGTAAACGGCAAACTGTTCCTTATTCTGTTTGTCCTGGTAAAAGCAAAGCTCGTTCCATCTAAGAAAAGTCTCTGCTGGCAGTACTGTGTTATAATTTTAAGGGAGAAAAAATGTAAAGTAACAGTTTCTTCTTAAATTGTTAAGGGAAAATGAGGGGAAAATACAGAAGTAAATAAAATAGTTCATAGTACTGTATGCAGACAGAAAACACATTAAACTTCAGTTAACAACAATAGCAATACAATTCCTGTCCGTATTTGTGAACATTACTCACTTTTGAAGGCCCTCTAACCTTGTCTGGCATTAAAAGATAATGGCTATGATAGAGATAATTTATTCTGCAGACACTATGAAGAATTAAAAGTTCTGTCACCTTACAATCAATACTTTGAATTTCAAATTTTTCTACTTCCCAAATGACTGGAAATAGAAAACATGAAACAGATTAGCTGATGATTACACCATTTCATTTTGATTGGTTAAGACTAAATGATGGGATTGAAGTGCCTAACACTGAGTACCAAAGTGCAGAAAACATTAGAATAAAAAATTTTTATCACTCACTGGGTGGTCTGTTTGCTGCCAAATTTTTGAAGTGGCTGCCTTTTATCACTTCTGCTGATAGTCTTCCAGTTGTGGCATTATAAAGCAGGCCAATGAGAATTTCTGGAACTGAGCCGTGTTCAAGAGACTGACATGAGGATGTGCTTTCACTACACGACATTTCTGATACGCTCATCTGGGAGTCACAGCCCTGTAATCAATGATAAAACTTTTATAGTATTTTGCAAGAGAGATATTGTTGTGCCATGATTATTTGGATTAGGTACATAAATCACAATAAAGATGAGTTGCAAACGAAACCAAACACCAGATTAGAATTATCGTCCTTAGCATATTTCAGTCCCTGGATTTTTTTTCATTATATCAAAGTCAAAGAAGTAATAGGAAATGAGAAGATTTCATAACTCCTTGCATATTTATATATAAATCAGAGAAATAAATTTCTTAAACTTATAGATGTTAATAAACTGTTTTCTGAATATGAAAAATTATTGTTTAAAGACTATCAACCTTAAAAGGCTGACAAAGATTTAGACTCAATACATCAAATGTCCTAACTGTGCCTTTAAATAAACAAAGCTACTTGCTATTTATAAGCCAACATCCAAAACACAGAGATACAGAAAAGTTGAAAAATATGGGAAAAATTAATCATATAAAAATAAACCAGTTGATGTAGTTGCATTAGCATCAGTCGGCTTTAAGGTAATAATCACTACTAGAGATGAAGAAGTATACTAAATAATGATAAAACACCGAAATCACTAAAAAGTAAAATAATCCCAAATTTGCATGCATTTAGTAACATGGACTCAAAATAGAGAAAGCAAAAATGGCCAGCACTAGAAAGAGAAAGAGACATCCATAATCACTGGAGACATAAACACACTTCCCTCAGTAACTAACCACATTCAGTAACTGGCCTAATGGATAGACAAATCAGTACTATAAGGATGTAGAAGACTGAAATATCACAATAAGCAAAATTGACCTAATGATCATTTGCAGAACGTTATACCTAATAACTACAAAATATAATTTTCCCAAGCACACAGAATTTTTTAAAAATTCAGGCAAATTATTTCAAATGATGAAAATTATTATGTTTTTTGATTGATTAGAAATTCAAATTCTGCTCTAGAGGAGAATAAAATATATCTTTTGGAACTTAAAGATATACTTTTAGTAACCCATGGGTAACTAAACAATAAAAATAAGTGATTTAAAAGGACTAATAAAATGAATAAACTTCTGGAGAGTCCAATCAAGAAAAAAAGGCACAAATAACAATTAGGAGGAATGAAAAAAAAGACATTACTACATATTTTACAGACCATGAAAAAATAAGAGGATAGGACAAACACCTTTCTTCTTATAAATTTTAAGTTTGGAAGAAATATACCAGCGCTCTCCAACCTTTTTGGTACCAGCGACCAGTCTCCTGGAAGACAATTTTTCCGTGGACAAGGTGTAGAGGGGACTGTAATGCTGTCACTGATCTGACAGGAGGCGGAGCTCAGGCGGTAAGGTTCACTAGCCCACTGCTGCTTACCTCCTGCTGTGCGGCCCCCATTTCTAACAGCACAGGGACTGGGACTGGTCTGCAGCCTGGGGGTTGGGGACCTCTGAAATAGACGTCTTTCTTGAAAGTTATTGCGAACCAAAAGAGACACTGGAGGACTGTTGAGAAACAGTCTGACCAAAGAAATTGAATTTGTAATTTAAAGCCTTTCCAAATACACATACAAAACAAAAATAAGAAACTCTGGCCCAGATGGCTTCACTAGTGAATTCTGATTAATAATGTTAGTCTTGCACAAACTCTTTCACATAGTAGAGAAAAAGAAACCACTCTTCAACTTCCTTTAAGAATTTAGCAAAACATTAAAACCAAAATTTAACAAGGGCATTATAAAAAAAAAAATTACAAGATTTTCTCATTCATGAATCTAGATGAAAAAATCCTAAATATACTATTAACAAATAAAATCTAGCAATGTGCAAAATCATAATTAACAGCAAAAAAGTTAATGTTTCCCCTTCAAAATTGCCAACTATTACTACTTTTAGTCAGCAGTGTAGTGGCGATACCAGCTAGTGAAGATCCTAGCCTCACTAAAGACAACAGAATGAAATAAAAAGTATAATGATTTGAAAGTGGACTGGATTTAAAAAAAAGTCCTTATGTTCAGATTACATAATTATGCACACAGGAACAAATCTACAGACGAACTGCAGTTGTATACAGAGGTAAAATTTAGAAATCCGTACATTACTATATATCAGAAGCCAATAGAAAATAAAGTTTATTACAATAGCATTTATTATGGCATTTAAATAGAAAATACCTAGGAATAAATGTAATAAATAATATGCAAGGCCTTTATACAGAAAACTATGAACAGTACTGAGAGAAATCAAAAACTACTATATAAACTGTTACTGTATTAGAAAGCTCAATTTTGTAACATTCTCTCCAAACTGACCAATAGATAAAATTCAATTCTAATAAAAATATCAGCAGGTTTCTTTGAATTGTTTGACTTCATTACTAATCAGAGGAGTGGGAATGAAGACTATGGGGTAATACTACACAACAAACAGATCAGCTAAAAGAATACCAAGAATGGTGAGAACAAAGCACTGGGAACTGCCATAGTTCTCTTGCGGAAATGTGAAGGGACACAATTTTTTTTTCTTTAAATATAGATGGAGTCTTGCTCTGTCTCCCAGGCTGGAGTGCAGTGGCACGATCCAGCTCACTGCAACCTCCACCTGTTGGGTTCAAGCAATTCTCCTACCTCAGCCTCCCAAGTAGTTGGGACTATAGGTGCATGCCAGCACATATGGCTAATTTTTTGTATTTTAGTGGAGATGGGGTTTCACCATGTTGCCCAGGTTGGTATCAAACTCCTGAGTTCAGGCAATCTGCCCCCATCAGCCTCCCAAAGTGCTAAGATTACAGGCTTGAGCCACTGCACCTGGCCCCAATTTTTTTGAATGTTATAAATACACATACCCTATGATCTGGCAATTCCATTTCTACGTATATACCCACCAGAAATATGTGCGATGGGCCAGACGTGGTGGCTCACGCCTGTCATCCCAGCACTTTGGGAGGCCAAGGCGGGTGGATCATGAGGTCAAGATATTGAGACCATCCTCGTCAACATGGTGAAACCCCATCTCTACTAAAAAATACAAAAATTAGCTGGGTGTGGTGGCGTAGCCCCACCTACTCAGGAGGCTGCGGCAGAAAAACTGCTTGAATCCAGGAGGTGGAAGCTGCAGTGGGCCCAGATTGTGCCACTGCACTCCAGCCTGATGACAGAGCAAGACTCCGTCTCTAAAAAAGAAGGAAATATGTGCAATGTTTATCAAGGAACATATGAAAGAACGTCCATAGCAGCATTATTCATATTGGATACAAACAATAGAATAAATTAAAAAATTGCACTGAGTTCATACAACAGCATACTATACAACAATGAAACCCAATTATAACTATATTTACAAATATGATTTTGAGTAAAACATATTGGGCCCAAAAGGATACCTAGCTGCATAATTATTCCATTTATGTAAAGTAACAAAAAAAAAATCGAACAACCCCAAAACCAAAACTTCAAACCAGACAGAACTAAACCATTATGTTCCCGATGTATTAATAGGTGGTAAAATTATTAAAAAAAGCAAAAAAAAAAAATTAACATGAAGTAAAAGTTGTGGCTAACTCTGGAGGTGGGAGAGAACAGTGATTGGGAAGGGCAGGATGGGAGTTTCTAGGGTTACTGAGACAATGTTTCATTTCGTGACAAGGATGGTAATTACATGGGTTTTTCTTTATGATAAATGGGTTGTACATTTGCATTTTTTACCCTTTTTTAGTATGTGTTGGGTTTCTCAAGAAAGATTTAAGACAAGAATTGCATGATGCAAAGACACAGTATACACAAACTAATATACAATGATGCACATAAATATCCAGAACTTTCTTTGAAGATTCCCAAAGGGATCCATTCCATGAATTAAAAAGGAAAGAAAGAAAAAAAAAAAAAAAAGACTGTAACACCATTCCCTATAACAGTGTAGTTAAAAATTTTTAAATGTTTTATAAGAATCTTGGAGTTTAAAACCTACTACTGGCTGTAGAATTAGTGAAGGAGAATTAATATATACCTGGGACCTGAACTAACTTGTTGGACTAATATTCAGAAGGCTAAAATCTCACATTTTTAACTCTAGACTACAGAATGGAAGCCAACAGGAATATACATTTTATATTCTTAAATCATGGGTACACAAAACACATAGTTTGGTATGTTTTCATGACAGTTGGAGAAGAAAACAATTTTAGTAAGTTTCAATTAGGATATATCATCACTTATGAAAATAGTGTCAAAAACATGCTTGAGCACATTTGGTGCATTTGTTACATTAGGCTCTTATACTAGCAGCATCTGTTAGAATACTGTGAAATACATTTTTCACAATATAGTATTTTTCACATTAACCTACTGTCAGATAATAAGATGTGAACCTAATAGTTGCTCATCAACACAGAAGTCACACTGCTGCTTTTGAGAAACAAATCAATACCCAAGGAAAGCAATGGAGAGGCCTTTCTCAAACCTAAGGAAAACACTCCCCACATCACTGCTGAGAAAATCATTATCTTCGAGCCCAACAAAAAAGCAAGAGCATTAAGATCCTTGTTGAGCATGCTGTTTTAGCAAGCCCTGCTGAAACATAGTGGTGTTTAAATAACACAGGAAAGTATTCCCTAGAAGAGTTCATTATGAATTTATGCCCTACAAAAAGTGCTTATCTCATGTCCCTTCCACTGACATTAGTATAACTGCCCATTCAACATGGGTAGAGTTGTGGCAATCTGAGGAGATCGCTCATACAAGAAAAGCAGGAAAAAATAGCTATGTAAACAAAATTATTGTAGTTAAAAAAAAAGAAAAATTAGTGGCACGTGCCTGTAATTTCAGCTACCTGGGAGGCTGAGAGGGAAGAATCACTTGATCCCAGGAGTTCTACACCAGCCTGGGCAACATAGCGAGATCCGTCTCAAAAACAAACAACCTCAAATTAAATACCAATACTATCTGCCCAAGTTGCTTCTTTCCTCAGACTATTCCTCAGGGCATGCTGCTCCATTCAGTGTATATTCAGGAATCTTCA